GAGCCGTTGCATGAGTGGCAACACATGTGGTTGCAGGATTTCACGAACATACCACTGGGCTGTCATGGTGCCACGGAACAATACTAGGGGTGACCGTGTGTTGTAGGCAATGGCACCCCATACCATCACACCAGCTGTGGGAGCGATGTATCGCTGTACAACAAAGGTAGAATTGAGGCGTTCCCCACGGGCTCTCCACACACGAACACGATTGTCATCACTGCTGAGATTGAATCTGGATTCGTCGCTAAAGACGACCTGGTTCCATTCCGCTGCAGTCCAGTTTCCTCGTGCTCGACACCACTCCAAACGGAGGCGTTGATGGTGGGCATCAAGGGCAGCACACGTAATGGGCGCCGCGATACCAACTGTCCTTCAGCGAGGCGCCTTCGTATGGTTCGAGAAGACACAAGGGCCCCTAGTGAAGGTGCTACCTGTGCCTGGATGGTGGCTGATGCAGCAGTTGGCTGTACGCGTGCATTTCTTACTATGTGGCGGTCTTCTCGACGACTGGTCTGTCGAGGGCGTCCTGAGCCTGGTCTTCGTGTACATGACATCTCTCGGGTCCACTGGTCCCAACACCTCCTCACAACACAATCAGAGCGGCCTAATTCACGAGCTACTCTCCTAGCTGACCACCTAGCTCCCGTCATCCCGACGATTCTTCCCCTCTCAAACTGCGACAACTGCTCATATTGTGTTCGAACACGGCGTAATGGCACGTCTACCTCAGTTCTTCCTTTGTAAATGATTCAGCACATTCAAACAAGCTTTGGTTACCTGTTTTATACTCTACAAAGTACGACATTCAAAGCCCTCTACCGGTTATACGCAATTCGCAATCACGCTGCATTTCTAATCATTTTCATATCTGCATTTCTAATCATTTTCATATCTCCCCGACATGTACCTTCACTGCAAGTTTCGTTACGATCCCGCAAGTATTTCTTGGTGCGCTAATTTTTTTTGTCCATGAGTGTATTTTTTTTTCACCTCCATGGTGACCCTAACCATTTTCTTTGTTGCTGGACACTTTTCATTAAATTTCCTAAAATGCACTGTTAATAAATTTACGAAAGTTTTGTTCGAAAAACACAAAATGACTTGAAAATTTATAGCTCAGATAGTTTATTGGACTGGTCTCCAGAAAGGGATGCACGTATACGAGGACGTACGCAAAACGCTGTTTTTGGGACATCCTATTACTATTATAATTATATTTATAATTATATTTTATTCCATTCTATATTCTGTTGCATTATATACTGTATTACATTATATGAGATACAACTTTCCGTCTTCGGGTAAGCGATCACAAATGTTTATAGATCGCAGGTTTAGTGATTAGTTATTAGAGCTATTAGAGCTATTAGGCTATTAGAGCTTTAATAACCTTTCATCCTATAAGCTACAAACTAATACTAATATTGAAATTGGTACTGAGCGCCGCCTGAGATAACCACTGACCTAACTTTGTTGTAAAAGTCTTACAGTGTTAGTAGTCATCCTGGCAGAAGGGAAAATTTCCTCCGTGTAAGAATGTACATATAAATATTACATGGGCATACAAGGCCTGTGAATAAGCATAGATATGTTGATTACAATCATTGTCTTGTACAAGTTACATATGACAGATACATAAAATCATGACAGCTATGTGTACATTTTTAGACATTATATGAATTCATATTTACAATACTTTTACTGAGATAATCAAATTAAACTTGTAATTCATTTACACATTGACTGGATTTTCAATATCATTTAAACTGCTTTACAATATTTTTTTATCAAGTACATATAAACTGGATAGTAATATGCTTACATTACAATAGTTTTGCTCTTACAGTCCTGTTATTATTCTACGGGGTGAGCTATTTTCCTAGTGTTGATGTTCTGTTGTTGTAGTATTTTGAATTGCTATTAAAATTATGCTGCGAAGATACAATTCTCAAGAGAGGGGGAGAATTTCTTAGAATCTTGCTGAGCAAAGCCTGATTACCTCCTCTATTTTAGTTTTCGTCTGCTTGTTGCCGCGGGTATTCTCTGCCCATTGCGGCCAGTATTCACTGCTTGGCATTTTTTAAATGCAGTTTATTGGTTTGTGGCAGTTGAAGAGGAAGTGATCTGCATCACCTACCGCACCACATTCACACAAATCTGATGCTCGTATGCCGAATCTCTTAAGGTAATGTGGGAAGGGACCATGGCCAGTGTAGAATTGAGTTTGTGCTCCGCTGTATGTATTAACTGAGCACGTGACTTTTGGAAAGAACTTGTAGGTTCTCCTCCCTGTGCTTTCCCTTTCTCATCTTTTCTGCCATTCTTGAAAAAGGCTATTGAGCGTGGTTTTTTTTAAATAGGACTGCGGAACACTTACTGCGCTTTCCAGTCTACTGGAGTCATTGGCAGCCGATTTCGCAAGCAGGTCTGCCGCTTCATTGCCAGTAATACCCACATGAGCTGGAACCCAGATCAGGATAGGTCTGTCATCTGGTGGGATACTTAGAAGAATTTTCTGAATATCTTGCACCAAAGGACTCCTTGTCTTGTGCCCTCGGATGGACTCCAAACTTGAGGCAGAGTCGCTATATATGCTGACTTTTAATCCTAATTGATATTTTGCCAAATTGATGGCTTGCTTTAATGCAAGAAGCTCTGCCTGAAAGCCGGTATTTTGTCTGCCAGTCGTCTTTCCCAAGTTTTAACCATTTCTCCTCTTTGGAGTACACAGTAGGCGCAGCCTGTGCCTTTTTCCGTCTTTGAGCCATCTGTATAAATGGCAAATGCCTTCTCATTTGGCGGCGTGTGTATTGCATGTATATTGTGTGCGATAAATCAGTATCTGCAGGGTGTCCAAGCATGATCGGCTTGCGCTCCTCATAGTCTGTATGGTAGAATGTCTTTTGCCACAGAGAGACGTTATTTTCTAGGCGCAATGTCCTTACTAATAGTGATTCTCTCTCCACTAGAAGGTCCAGTGGAGGGATACCCGCCAGCACTTGCAGTGCCGCAGTTGGGGATGTTCTATAACCTTTGCATATGATCAAAAGTTGCATTCTTATTGAAATTGGTACTGACATTAATGAGATTGATGAACCTGCCGAATCTTAGACTGTTGCTGGTAAGATGCACTACAGTCATAGTGATTTAAATCCCTCTTTTGCGGCTAAGACTCGAAAGGGAAGTCCGTCAATGGGAAAATTAGTTATAAATTTCAAAAATCTCTGTCGCGGGACCTTGCGAGGAAAAGTGACAGACAATTGCCATGTCAGATTTCCACTCTTGATAGTTTCAACTACAATTTTGCTAGTTCATTAACTAACCTAAGGTGCATTATATATATATATATATATATATATATATATATATATATATATTTGTATTCTTTGTAAATCTAGGAGAGCCACAAGGGCAGGTATGACTAATCACCCGAGTCTTGGTTATTCATCGTACTAGGAACTTCCAAGTATCACTTTGCTTAATGTCCACTCATGTTTCGTATGTTATGTTTTGCACATCTTTTATTAATATTACACGCAAGATAAAAACTATTATACAGTGATTATTTACGGCGCGCGGGAATACATTTTTTTCAGCCCACTCATCAGTTTCCTCGCCGGTCATGCTGTCCCCCCGACCAGTTTTTCGAGGTTACTACGTCACTTCCACCACAATTGTCTGTCCGAAGGAACAAGTTCTCAAAAAGGTTTTCGCTATCAACTTTATAGCAGGTATCCAGAACCACTTGTATTCGTGGACCACAGATTGAAAAACATTGCGGTAGACAGGGTTTTGTGTTTTTTCTTAGTCGCCCTTTAACTTGAGGGAGAATGTAGAGATTTATCGCCTCTCCCCGCGCGTAACTTCATGGTGTAGATAGTTGGCACGTTCAGGTCAAAATCAGAGGGCAAGTGATTCGAATTCCTGCGAAGCTACAGTGGAATATTACGTTTCCTGTTCTTGAAAGGTCCCAAAATATCTAAAATCTGTGCGCATGTTTCTCTTTAAGTACGACAATTCATCTCTATAAAGTACACGCCGCTTAATATGCTTACGTTTGCCCACGGCTATTTTGGTAACATTAACCGAATGTTAACATTATACGATGAATATAAATATAAAATATACTTCAAAATAGAAATAAAATTTAGCGTAATTTTTTTTTTTTAAATCTGAAAGGTTCTATATTTTGATTCACACAGAAGAGTGTGTTAAGGTTTCTTATGTTCTCGCTGGGTTCACAATCTACCACTCTGAACTTCGACTCACTCCTGAACATTTTTTTTTTTAGCCCTAAGGGTGATTGGCCAGGAGGGCGGTTAGTTTCGAAATGGCATTTTGCGCCGAATCACTCTGAACGGCTGAGCCACTTTTCAAATTGCTTCCACGAAATATTATACCCCTGTATTATACTCGTATTTAAAGAAATTAAACAGTGAAGAATCTGCATGAATGTATATGCTTAGAGCCATCAAATTTCAAATAACCTAGTCTTCCACCCGAACATGTTCACTTGGAAGCTCGAATCTTGAATTTCCGAATTAGTTTTACGAATTCTTTTTCATATTTAAAGAAACTCAACGATTTCAAAACGAGCAGTGGCAGCACACTTCGCGGAATAAAATACTTTTATTTAAATGTTTGCAGCTCACCTGCGTATCGGAAATTCTAAACATATGCTGTTTATAAAATATTGTTTTAGCCGAAATGCTCTTCATACGTGTATGAATAAGTAACTAAAAACACCGCCCTTTTGATGTAATATAAATTTTAAAAGCTTTCTTTTTCTTTTCTTTTTTTTTTTTTATTAAGCATCGTTTTCTTCCCTACAGTCTACCATTCTGCACTTGCACTCACTTCTGGTAATACCCCTTTCTTTTGACCTCCTTAGCTTTATTATTAAGCATCGTGAAAAAAAAAATATCTCTGTAGCCTCCAAGATGAAACTTGTAGACACATAATGTTAATTTGAAGCAGCAGAGGTGAAAATTGAGCAATACCCCCGCGAGGAATCGAACTATGGACCTCTCGAATACAAGTCGAGCGTGCTGACCACTACACCACGAAGGCGGGAGAAATAGCTTGTGAACTGATTGCATTTTTAGTAAGATAATGAAGAATTACTGAATTAATTTTGTTTAACTATTAAAATTTATGCTGCACTAAAAAAGAAAATTCAATTTTGCCTTTTGTCCTTCTTATTCAAAACTTAAGTTACTATGTATTTAATTTCATTTTCTCTTTTTCGCTTTTTTATTAGAATAATGCGTCTTTCGAATGTGATTTTGAAGGCATTAGTGTTTTACTAAATGGCGCCTTAAACGATATCCTCGTTAGTAATAACGGATAATGCAAATAACTTTTCCGGATTCTTTACGTTTCCGTATTGTATAGTTAATTTAAATGTAAACGAACATGGTACAATAGTATTTTACACATCTCTGTTTGTAAAGAACTTTACTAAAACGTTAAGAAAGAACAATAGTAAACGTCCATGAAAATGACATAATCATCTTTCATCACAACTTAATTTTGCTGTTATTTTTTATCAAAATGTTTGAAGTCTTGCTAAGATATGAAATATTATTTACTTACCTGTATTATTATTATATCAGAATTATTTTGTGTATACAACTTTGAATGTGAAAAAATATTCCGAGTGCATAAAAATGTGTCTTTTTCCATGGAATCACTTTGAACTGGTGCAAATGATAGAAATATTTGATCTGCAGGTTTAACATTCCCTCTATTTTCAACATCAATTCTCTCAAGATGTTACAACACAGCACTTCATACCATCGAGGGATTTTAATGTCGCTCACGGTTAATTAAAATTACTTTTAATACTGCGCTACATACAAAGGACAGGAAACAGAAGTTACCTATGTTACAGCTAACAGAAAAATGTTGCTAACAATTTATCTCTACAGTTCAAGTAGTTTAATTTGGACAGTAAATTCATTTCATTAAGTAAATTAAAAAAGGAAAAAAAAAAAAAAAAAAAAAAAAAAAAACGAAAGAAAGCATACTGTATATACAAATGAATAAACGTATTTAGAAACGGAAATACCAAGTTATAAATGCCTGTAACCAAGGTTAAAAGAAATAAGATTAGTAGCTACAGAGTTGATTTATTTTGCGACTGAGTATTTTATTTAAGCTAAAAGATAATAATTTTTTCGCATGTTTATAAAAATAGGCAAAAATACACAAGGCGTGGTTGAATTCTTTAGTGTTCAGTTTCTAACTCCCCCCCCTTAAATTGTTTATGGCTAAATCTGTCAGAAAGCTCCAGTTAATCAGCCTCAATAAAAATCGAATTTGGGCTGCATTGGATAAATAATTAAAACAAAAAATTAATAAAACAAAAAAAAATAACTTCTAATACGCAAATAATGCGAAATTATTAATTTCAAACTCATCAACATTGACAATTAATAAAAGTCATTTAGAAAGTACGTAAAAAATCTAACCGAATAAGAAGGGGTTGCAACGAAAATGAAATCATAAGGGACAATCATTATTTGAATTTCATGACTTACCAGAAACACAAAAATAACTAAATCACAGAAAAATAACTCTAAGGGTAAATGACGATAGAGTTCTCCACCTTTACAATTAACATTTTTATTTTAAACAAAATCTTTCATTGGAAACTAAACATCGCATTATATATAAAAAATAATTTTACTTTTTTTAATAAATCCTTCGGCAGTAAGTAAACTTCACATTATAAATGAAACTGTATAATATCATACAACTTTATAGAGACGTATTATTATTATTACAAGACGCTTTGTATCTTGTAATATTACATCACAAGATACAAAACGAGATGGAAAAAAATAAAATCATAAGATTACAGATATTTCTATTTAAAATGCAATACAAATACTACCGTAACTTGTAAGAGTAGCTGAGAAATTCAGTCTATACTTACAATTCTTTCTTATTTACAAAAGGAAAGGCAATAATTAACAGTTGAGGTAATTTTGATGAAACTTTAAAGCTAAGATATAGAAGTAAAAAATCATTCAAACAATTTTGCAGTCATTTTTCCCACTACCTATAACACTTTGCAAAATTTTCGCAGCTAAGTTACCTTTCACGAAGTTTTTCCATTCACGGCTTGAGAAAACAACTTCGCTATTTTTACGAATAAATGTTAACACGCAGTTGTATAAATCCCCATCGGAATGCAGATCAGCAAGCTGAAGCAAGTTGCACAAATTTGTGACAGCTAGATTTTCCTTGAGAAAGCATGAGCATTTTTTCTTTAGAGCTGATACGTCGTATTTGTCAGCTACTACATACAATTCCTGAACTGTGTGTGCTAACGGTTTTCCTAAGTAACCAGAATACATGTATAAAAGCAATTCATCCATTATATCGACTTTGACATCTTTAATACGAACAATGTTCTTTTTTGACTCCTTCATTTTGGTTCGAAACATTCGAGAAAATACAGAGGATCTGCCAGAAAGTATAAATTTCTGCGCCCGAAGGTTTTTCGAAAGTACTTTAATGCTAACATTTGTCAAATTGCCACTTTTGTAAAAAGCTGCCATGTCACTGCTAAAGTAATTACAATTAATGAAAGACGCTGGCACACATGAAGACTCCAGTTTCTCAACAGATGAACTACCATCAGAAAATTTCAATTCACATTCGAGTATCAATACATCTTGCGGATTTGTTGAGACTGGTCGAGAAAGTTCTGCACATTTCCATGTTTTATCCCTTTGAAATAAGTGTTCATTTTCGCAGTAGGTCTTGCCGAAGGATATAGTGCTTTTAACGAAAATCGCCTTGGACCTATTTTCAATTACTTTGCAAACAGATATGTCAAATATTCTACCATACACGCCATCTTCACGCATATGAAATACTAAATTCCATGTACAAGACTTTACATTTTCGACAGAAAATACTTGACTATGCAATGTCGAATTGATGGGGAGACTGGAGAAATTCTGTATCGGCCACTGAAATGATATTTTCTTTACATTATGTGTCTTCGCTTTCCGTGCTACTTCTGCATAACTTGTAGGTTAATGTGTACGTTCATACTTGCTTGCAGCAGCATAAACGTCTGATAAAAATTTCGATTCAGAGCAATCAAGTTTCCCAGTATAAACATATTCGAGCATGGCTTCCAGTACTTTTGGTCGAACATCCAGAACTGTTTCAGAAGTTTCTTCAGCATTCAGTTTTTCTAGCATTTTCGGGCCACCTCGCTAATAACATAGCTTTATGGACTCCAAAAACAGCATCATCAGCACGTAACTTAAGATCCGTAATGAAACCATCTTTAAAAGAAATGTGAGGCAGAATCTCTCCTTCACTAATATTAAATACTGGTTTTAAAGTGCATTTTATGACCAGGATGTCGTTTATTTACTGTCGAACAAGGGATATTTTGTCGGGAGCTTTCGAATACCTGAATTCGTCTTGTGCTGCTAATTTATATGTGGTTGCTTCGTTATGACCAAAAATGAACTTTTCATTGAAATCCAAGCCTTGAATGGTAGTTTCGATTTTGAAGTTTTCTGAAACGTTATCCAACCTATGGAGATAAACGGATATGCAATCTTTAAATGGCGATAATATATAACGACAACTCACTGGAGAGGGCGACTCCCGACCAAATATCCTTCTGGATAAACCCTTATACACCACTGGATGCCGGGCAAATTATGCAAGACAAAATGCGGACTCTGAAGACATTCGCCCGCTGAGTGATGGCACATGCTAAAATTTTCAATTAGCCAAGTAAAGGTACACGTGCCTTCTTCTGATTGCGTCATTATGTACGAGAACTCACTAACGCTTCTTCTATTAATGGCAGGAATGCTGAGTGTTAGCGCGTTTTTGCGCGTAATCCCACGCCATTCGTCTGTTGGCATTTCGCCAAGGTTTCAAGTAACTGTGTTTCAAGTATCTCACACTGCTATTAAGTCGGTAGGAGACTTACTAAATATTTATCGAATCGACAACAGCAGTATGTTTGAATTTTATGTAATAAGTAATTTTTTTCTTTTTCACAATTCTGTAGTCCATTATAAACTTTAATTTCGTTTTGGTTTGAAGTGGAATCTCGTAATTACCCTTTGCATAGAACAGGTAATTCTAATTTAAGGGCAAACTGGTTTCTCTGCTATCGCTTTTGATACTGAAGCAACCCAAATCGAAACTCAAAATCCAGGAGCTAGTATTTTAAACAAAGAAATAGTGAATATGCAGACGCACTGTGCAGGTTTATGCTTTCTAACAAAATATTAAAATATGGTTTTGACTAAACACTACCACGTATGTAAAAAATAACAATGGTTCTTTTAAGTTGTATCGATACGTGATTCGGGAAGTCAAATGTTAACATACCATAATCGTAATTGTTAGTCTGTCATTAGCCTTTCAGCTACAGATCGTCGTGAAAATGATGCCGAAGGTGAAGGGTGAAGCGAGAAGCTGCCTAAATCTTGAGAAATAATAAAATAAAAGATGTTTAATATAATAGTTTTTAATTTAAAACTCGCAAAATAATTAGTGAACTAAAAATAGAAAGATAATTTATCATGTACTGTAGTACATGAATCTTTTCAGATCTTTGGATGAAACGATCATTTTCCAATCAGAAATAATGGGAAAATAATTAATTAGTTCTTATGAAAAAATCCTATTGTGGTTATTATAACATTGTTTAATACTAAAATACAAATGCAGTGGTTGAAATATATACTGTAAATGAAGCACTGCCCACGAATATTTTTTTGCTATTCAGATCAAAAGCAATTTTTCAGTGTGCTCTAATGTTTCTGACCTTTGTTTGATAACCGATTTCACACCCTTCGCAACGTTAACCGATGTAATACTGTCTTTCAGTCCTAGACGTCATCGTACTTAACATATCGTACGCACTAGCTAAGTCCTGGATATGTGCACCATTATCAGACTTTTCAATAATATCTCTTTTCACCTTCATGGTGATCCTAACCATTTTCTTCGTTGCTTGACTCTACACATTAACATTCCTACAATCCACTGTTAATGAATTTTCGAAACGTTTTCGCGAAAAACACAAAATCACTTGTAAATTTAGACTTACAAAGCTCAGATTGTTTACTGCTGTGGTCTTTAAAGTGGAGTATGCGTACCCGAGAGCATATGCCAAGTGTCACTTAAGGAATGCCATGTTATAGTTATAATTTTGTTTTATTCTATTCTGTATTCTATTCTATATATTATATTATCTGGAGAACAACTTATAAACATTTCTGTCTTGAGTCTGATTGGAATGGGAAGTCCGTAAGTAGGAGTATTAGTAATATTGAATTTCATAAACTGTCAATCTTGGGACCTTGAGCGGAAAAGTGATAGACGATTGCCATGCGAAATCTCCGAACTTTTGATATTTTCAGCTATACAGTTACTAGTTATTTAGTTGATTTAACTTAGAGACAATTAATCTAAATTTTATTTTTTTGTATTTTTTGGAAATGTAGAAAAACTACAAAGCCAGGTGTGACTTATCACCAGAGTCTTGGTTGCTAGATAAATATTTATCATACTAGGAACATCTAAATACCATTTTGTTATGCTTATGTCCCCTTACGTTTCGTATGTTATGTTCTGCACATCTTTATTAACGTTACACAGAAGAAAAAACCTATTATATAGATTCATTAGTTACAGTGCGCAGGAATGCAGTTTCTTCTCAGCCATCCTCAGAACACCCACCAGCCTCCTCGCCGGCCATGCTATCGTTGTTCTCCCTTTTCGTTCGATCCGCATCTCTCGATCAGTTTTTTGAGGTTACTACGTCACTTCCACCACAAGTTCTTTCGTCTATCCCAGGGCTTCTTAAACTTTTTTCAGCCGCGACCCCTTTTTATCACTCAGACTTTCTTCGCGACACTTGGACCCCATAATATTTACGAAAATTTTGTGGGACCCCATAAGCATTGCGCAAATCCCACACACGCGTGAGTGAAACCGTCATTTTTTTACTTGCACTGTAATATACTATTGCAGTTTTAGGTCATTAACTTTAATTTCTAATTTTAAAACATAGAACAATGCGAAGTAACAGACGAAATGACAGCGTCACGTGCAAAGCAAGTAAATTGAACGTTTCTATTATAAAAAGAATGAGTCGAAACGTTTTCGTTTCTTCTTTGTCTATATTGTCTTATCTTTATCTATTTTCAGATGCATTGTGTAAAAATATTTGGTAATTGTAAAATTATTTTAATAAGTTAAAGAAATATCGAAATTGCTAAAATTTTTGGCAACCCCCTGCTGCAGGTCCCGCGAGCCCCAGTTTAAGAAACTCTGGTCTATCTGAAGGACCAAGTTTTCTATATTTGCTGAAATCTTTACAGCAGGTTTTCAGGGTTATCAATAGCCTCATTCCACTCCTGGGCAAATATTCGAACTTGGATTTGAGGAAGAAAAGACTGATATAGTACATTACCGCAATCAGGCCGTTAATTACATATGCCTCACCTGCTTGGACAAGTGCAACGAAGAAAGATATTATAAAACTTCAAGTTGTACAAAATAAAATATTAACGCATTATCACTAATGCTTACTGTTATGTTAGCGATGCCACTCTACAGTGTGACCTTAAATTGGATATGATTAATAAGTACTTAAGGATATTCAAGAAAAACTTCTTTGACAAGGCGAGTAACTGCGACCATAGGAAAAATCTTAATATATTCTGTTATCAAATTTTGGATGAAGGTTGCAACTTACGACTACGAGCTGCCCACCTCACTAGAGATTCAAACTTTCCCACTTAATGCTGCACCTATTTCTATAATTATCAATTCACAATTTTCACTTAATTTGTATTGTGATTTTATTATGTTTTGCATGAATTTTATCATGTATTTTGTATTTTCGTGACTCTCCACGTATGTCTTTGTTTCACTTATGCACTCTTACCCATTATGATATTTCTAACTTGCAGCGTTGGTTATCCTCATCCTTGACTTACTGCTTCCTTGTGTCATCTAAGTTATAATAGTTTTTATGTGATAGCGCCGTTTTGGCATACCTTTCATTAATCCCCCCGGGGTGCAGTGCTGGTTGGATTCTATATCCTGACAGTGTACTCTGGGGAAAAAGCATTACGAACTTGCCGGTTCCAGAACCTTGACGGAAGATCGTTTATATGGTTGAACCGAGGGGCTATAGGCCACCGGGCAGGTGGTATCGGTAAGTATGCAAGGCTTCGGCTTTTGGTAATGTATTCCGTATAAAGCCACGGTATTGCTAGCGGACAGTGCCACGGCCAGTCCGTGGTAACTCAGGTATTTGTATTTCATGTCAAACTTCCTGCCTGGTGGACTGCCCGCGTACTACTGGCGAAACACACTAACGTCTCTGAGAACCGGGAGTGGTGACCCCCCTCGCGCCCAGGCGTAACCATGTTTAATAAGGAAACCTTTAAAAGTCTTCCACCTCGGATTAGGGCCCCGGGGTGGTAGCAAATGAGCAGTACAATCCTCTTGGGGAATTCTTGATTGGGATCCTGCCTAATATGGAGGTCTCTAGCTGGAGTCCAATCCGTGTAATGCCATACGGTAGGCGAGGCACGTATATATCTATGTGTTATGTAGAGAAATTATCTGATAGCGTTATAAAAAAATTAGGTTAATGATTTTATGATTTATGGAAATCTTAATTTTTATTTGATTATGAATTATTTATTTTAAGGCTTTAATTTTGGGGAGAAACAGATGCTTCGGGAAATATTATTTAGTTAAATGATATTATTTATTTTCTTTTATTTGCAAATCTTGTACAAACTTTTATTCATTGTGAAAGAAGCAGGGAAAGGGAGGCAATTTTCGCCAAGTCATGATTTCGCGCGCTTTAGAATGTTCGAGAAAGAATTTTCATTGTTAGTTGACCTTAAGAGAGGAAAGTACGTGACGGAAAGGTCAAAGGTTGCTACTTGTCTTTCAATGTAAGTCATTCAGGTTTTGGCGATTGAGGGTCCGGTTGTTGGCTAAGTGAAGAAGGGCGCGCATGCGCGATCACCCTTATTTCCGCATTCTGGAGTTGAAAACGAAGATTTTGCCATAATTAAGGGGGCGATAAGTGAAGCCATAGTGGGAGCCCGTTTGGTGAAGGACAAGAAGGAAATTTGAGTTGGACACACTTACTTTTGGCTGACTCTCGGACTGACTCGCTGATTTTTGGGCTTGCTGGACAAAATGTAAGTGACTCCGAGAGGTGTTTTCCGGCGGGGAGCGGCAAAAATGCTCCCCGGCCGCGTTTGGTTAAGAGGCGAGACTCTCTTACACACTTACTCTTGGACTCGCTTAGGCACTCACGCTTGGATTCGCTGACTTTCGGGCTTGACGGACTTGTTGACGGAGGCTGAGAAAAAACTTGTGGGTGTTGCGAAGGAGAAAGGAAAAGATTTAGTCGGCATCGAGCTGTGCTCCGGCGGGGAGCGAATAACAAAAAAAAAAATTAACAGAGACTTGGGTCTCTATCTGTATCGGCAAAAGTCAGGACGATGTCCTCTGAACTCCGACTTGAAAACAGAAGAAATGAATTGGAAAGAATTATGTCACCTTAGACAAACTGGAAGCCTGCGTTAGCCGTTCTCTAAAATGCCTAGCTTAATTGTCTACGTTTTCCTTGGTGGAGCTGAGAGTCTAGGCAGACAGCCGTGCGGTGTAAGCTGTTCTCTTGCTTCCAGTGGGAACAATTTTCTTCTATGGAAACCAGTAGCAGGCGTA